TATATCTCAGAACTCTGAACTTGGAAGACTTTTCAAAAGTATTTTGAAGCAAGTTTACAAACATTATAAATATTTTTAATAGCTTTTAAACATATCAATATAAAAAATTTTACACCAAAGTCAATCAGCTACGATCATTATTTTCTCTGAAACTTTAAGTTAAAGTTAACTAAAATCCAGTGTTAAGTAATGCAAATTTAAATAAGTTGCCGTTCGGTGGTGGGGGTAACTGTATTCGACACGGCTCGTTTCTATTACATTAGGAACATAGCCAGTCCGCGCTCCAGTAGTTGTTATCTATCTCAGTGTATGTATATTATCTGTTATCTAACAAAATGTTTTCATTCCATGTATCATCTTCATCGGATTCAGGTCGTATTATTTTGATAGTTGCAACAATAGGCATAGCTGTGAAATGCTCTTCAGATACAGGCATTAAATTTTTCAACGTATCCTTGAAGAAATAATTATAATATGATTAGATTAAAAATAATGAACTCTTTATGAAACTTGAAACTTACCAAATTCTTTGTTTGGCGATAGCAAAGACCTTGGGAAGGGAGAATCCATTAAATGTGCAGCTGCAGGTATTGTATAAGCTCCCATGTCTTCAAAAGTAATCCAATCACCCAATCCCAGCAGTGGCATGTTCGCAAAATCAACTACTTTATCTAAGCCATGACAAGTAGGACCCCAGATGGAACTCTCATAAATTGGATGAGTACTTGAATAATCCTAAAAGTAATAATATTAAAATAAGTTTATCGTAAACTAAATAATAGGCAACTAAATGTTATTCAACTCACATATAAAGGTTTGGGCTCAGCAACCGAATGATCATAAAGAATACTATTAAAAGAACCACACACTCCATTGTTAATGAAATACATGATATGCCTTTCATCATTTGAATGGTTTTTAATGGAATGGATTTTTGTTGAGAGTGTAAATGCTGAAGCCACAAAATATCTACCAGGCTCTGCTATGACGGTCACTCCATTATTTGGAGGGAACCATTTATATAAGTGCATCATTAATTATGTCTGCAATCTAAAATATATGTTTGAAATTGAATTAAAAATAAAATCATAAATTGTTTTTTTAACAAGATTCATACTTGTGTGGTGAAAGTGGAAGTGTTTCTATTTCCAGGAAATCCTCTACCAATGTTTAACAAGTGCATATTCGTAAAACCTAACTCCTGAACATATTTGAAAATGACTGCTGAAACAGCAATTGCTCTTCAGAAGGCAGCTGGTTCATTGCATCCTGAACCAACATGAAAGCTCACTCCAATTATATTCAAATCTAAATCATGGGCCATTGCCATTAGCGATGGTGCTTCAGTTAGAGGATCACACCCAAATTTGATACCAAGGGGACGTTGTACTTCAATTGCATCACAACAAATTTGTATAACCAAGCTAAAACGAGAAACAAAATATTAATACTGTGTTTTGAGTTAAGTGTTTGTAACTTGCAGGATGGATGTATGGATTTTATTTAGTATAATTCTAGTTCATTATCGAATGTTGTCAGATTAACACCTTTGCTCTCGGCATATTTAATATGTGAAGCCATTTTTGTTGGATGAGCAAATATTATACGCGACGGATTCACTCCCAAGTCCAAAATTTTTTTTATCTCGGCCTTAATGAAATAATTTTCATAATTTAATAATTATATTCCTTCAATTAACATTAGAGTAAAATTTATGTATTTTTTAAATATCATTACTTTGGAAGCACAACCAAAATTTGTTCCATACACAGCCAAAGTTTCTAGCATGAAGGAATTGTCGTTGCATTTTACAGCTGCAATAAATTTTTGAATTAATTTTAAACACAAATGAGTACAACATAATATTGAATTTAAAATGTAAATAATAGTAAAATTAAAATTAATTATATACTCATAATATTATGTTAAGTTATTATGTATATTTTAACAAGTCTTATAAAACACGTAAAATTTTGAACACGAGTACCTAAGTATATTTGAGTCTATTATAGCATGTAGACGTGTTTTCTGTGTGTTAGTATTTTATCGTACGTATAGTATACATCAGCTGTAGAAATTTGGAAACAAATCGACATGTTGATCAAGTCATTGGTGATGAACTGATGTATCAAATGTTAAATATCTACCATGAAAGTAGATATTGTATTCAGTATCAAAGAATAGTTAACTCTTTTACTAAAATCGACCTTTGAGTATTACAACTCAATGATACATTGTATGTAACTTTTATTTTTAAATCAAAACCAAAATGATGAACTGATGATAAGTGTAAGAGTTTTTGAATTAATCGAATTTGACTATTTGCCAAAGTGAACAAATGAGGTCTCTATACAAAGATAATCAGCAAAAGAGGAACTATGGTGAAGGAAATTGGATTATAAAATATTTTCATGTAGAACAGGCACTTTTTCTAAAAAACTATTCAGCCCAGGCCGAGTAATGCAAATAATTGTAATATTACTAATAGTTTTAAGAATGATTAAAGAAAGAATGTAAATTGACGTATGTCTAAATCTAAAGCTCAATATATAAATAGTTTTTAAAGTAAGAGGCTTGAGCCCCAAGTTACAAGTATTAAGATATAATATACAATTTTTTAATGTCGATTATTTTTTACTAACAGAAACTTAGTTATCTACTGATATTTTGAACAATGAGCTTGGATTTCATAAATTTAATATATATCGTATTGACCTAAGTGGTAAGACAAGTAATAATTGTCAGAGATGATGGAGTGTAAATAGAGATACCCAAATGTTTTGATGAAAGTCCCTAATGATAGTATTAAACAACTGTTTGAAATGATTTAAGGTGGGAATTTATTATATTTCATTTATTTTACGTGTATACCAGGCACTCAGATTATTAAATATTTAGTTCTTACTGGAATGACTGGATATACTTTTAAATATATTATTATAAATGTTTGATATTTATATTTATATAGGTACATTAACTGGTATCACCCTTTTTGTATTTTTATTACAATATATAAAATAATTACAATTTGATTATGTCCAACATAACACAATACAGAAAAACATTAAACAATTCTTTAAGGAAATACAAAAAGTGGGTTTACTTAAATATTTAACACATACTATTTTTACAATTAGGTACTAATAATGATAGTTATTCATCAAAAATCTATTTAGATTTATAATTCAATCTATGTACCTAGTTACAAGTTAATTTTATTACAAAATACAATTTGACTGCGATATAAAACACTAGAACAACGCAATTAGTTCATCAATATTATTTATGAAAGCGTTTAATTTGCTTTATAGCTGATAAATTGTAATCTATAGATATATCATTGCTGGAAAAATTCTTGTGTAAATTAAATAGGTAAATGAAAAGAAATGTACTATACATAACCAAAAATACTTTTGTTCCATAATTTTTAACTGAATTTAGTTAGTCAAAATGTGTGCGTATTTATATATATATATTATATATATTACTACTGACATTCTTTATAGTAAGTACATATTCATAATATTATCTTAAATATTAATTATGAAAACACAAATAAATAAAATATTCATCCAAACTCACCATAAAAAGGTTTTACACGTGGTAATGTTTGCTGCCAAATTATTGCTTCATTCACAAGATCACCAACATCAAAAATATAAAATGGATCTGATATGTCCTACAGACAAAAAATGTATACAAATAATATAACTAAATACAATTTGGTGTATCATCAGAAAATAACTAAATATGTAATAATTACTTTTGTTCCAACTATATCCTTAATGATTTCTTTAACAGTCACTTCATTATCAATGACATGAATTTGTTCTTCTTGTTTAAGAGTTCTCATGTTTATTCCGTTTGTACCTAACCAGTGTAATAGATGATAAAATTATCACCAAAAATGTTAGAGAATTGAAAAGTAAACTGAAATAAAAAAAAAATTATGAACACTAGAACATCTTCTTTCAATATCAGGTACATTTTTTTTATTAAGTAAAATTAATTATACAAAACTTTAACCAAATACAATCTAAGATACTAGGTAAACTTCCTTGATAAGTCACTTAAGTCAATGTGTATGGGAAAAACTACAATTGATACCTACATTTCATGAAAAATATCTAACTGATGCAGAATTATGTATTCAATACGATTGTTATCAGCTCTTGCTTATAAACCAGTACCTGACATACTAGCAAGTTTCGAGCACTTATGTGAAAGTGATTATTATATAGAACACGAAGAACTTTTTCGAACACTATTGGACTACTATTAAGATACTTGGCTTGGAAAGACTGAGCGCAAACGACGTAGAGGTCCAACATTTCCTTTGGAAATGTAGAATTGTTATGACCCAATAGATTTGCAAAGACTAATAATTCTGCCAAGCGTAATTAATTTTTATGAATAAATATATCCAAAATATATTAAGTATATTTAATAGATTTTTACATATTATTTAGGTTGGAATCGTGGTTTTAATAATTTACTTTACGTTTGATAACATTATTGTAAAATCAATACATTTATCTCAGCTCAGATTCTTAAGTTATTAGTATTTTAAATATTTAAATATGAAAATCATTAAATTATATCATTGAATTAAAAAACATGCTTTATTTCACATGATTGGTTTTGTACTATTACCTTTCTATATAATTTGAATCTTTTTTCATTAACGTATAATAGATGTTTGCTAACATACGAGTTAAAATATTGCATCAGCGTAACACATTACACATGACATCGTTGAACTTTTCCCGAAACAAATATTGTAAAATTGTTTATCAACAATAAGTTTAGATAGTCATTAAATAATTACTTTTCGCTATCATCGTCAAAATAAGTTGATTGAGTGAAAGCGTATAAAATTTCTGCCAAAAAATGTTTCTCTGGAAATTTTAATATCTAAAACCAAGCAATCAATATAACAGTGATAATAATCATAATATATAAAAATAAAACGTATCATACTTTTTGAAATGTGTTGTTCATCACAAAATCCACAAACAATGCTTTTTGTAAACTATGGGGTACACAGCAATATTATGCAATTTGTGGGCAAGAAGCTAAAATAAAAATAAAATAAAAATAGATATCTAACTGAAATTCTTAACTTTATTTTTTATACTTATTGTAATACCTTTGAATGTGGATTGATGTTTGGGATAATATTTAAGATCTTATCTGTTTTTCTCAATGCTGGTTTTGGTGAAGCATTTTTTTTAGTATTAGATTTTTTAGATTTATTTACTTTCTTTGATCTTTTGGCAGGTTTCCTACTTTTATAGTTATAATAAATAAATGGTGAAAAGTGGTGAGTAGTAATAAGTCATCAATTTCTTACCGTAACATAGATAATAACCTATTCTTGTGAGCTAAATTAATTTCATTCATCTCTAATATGTCGTTTTCATAAACCCATTCATCAAATTTGGAGTTGAAACCAACAAAATGAAGCAAGTACTGGGTACTAGCCAT